CCGGGCTGGGGATTCGAACCTGCCACCTTAGGTGTACGTGGCTGGCGCCTTAGCCGGTTGAGCTATAGGCGCCGGCCTAGTTGTTTTCTTGTTGCAGTTGTCATTGTTGCTTAGCTGGCCTAGGCCGGGTTCGAACCCACCAGCCTCAGTGTATGTGGCTGGTGCTGTAACCACTGTGCTACGGGTGCCGAGCCTGACTTTTACTATTTTAATATTAAAGTCCTGTTACCACAAGTTTGAAAATTTCTGACCTAAAACATGCATAAATAATTTATTTCCAAAAGTTCCTCAAAACACCATATGGGGTTTGAGTAGGATCCCCAGGATTAAAGATGTATTACTCTCTCTCATGTTTTCTGAGAGAAAAGATTTTGGTACCTGGATTCTTTGAGAGAAAGGTTTGCTGGGTTTATGAGCTATCTAGGTTTAAGGCTTCGTGTTCTGTACATAAGGCTCCTCTGTTCAAGAAGGCTAAGCAGTAAGAAGCCTTTTCATTCCCCACCATCTTAACTACCTTTCTGAATCTGCCACTCTGAAGCAGAAGATTCAGGATCACCAGAACCTATTTTCAGATGAATGAGAAGTCAAGCCTGAGCAATCAGAAATAGGTCAATGACTTTTTAAAGCAATTTTCTTGAAAAATGATGTTTTTCTTTGCAAAATTCTTTATATAATAATTATTTTCAATCAGCTTTCTCAGGTTAAATCTTTTTCACCACTGTTGTTTTTTTTTTTTTTGAACAGGATATGGTGACTGCCTATACATCCTTTCTGTTGTTTTTAGAAGTCTTTCTGCTATAAAAGCTTTAAATACTTTTGGAGGTTACCTGTATTTCTCTAGCCCTTAGGGAAAATATGATTTCTGAAAATATAAATGAAAGGTTTCAGTATTTCAGCTAAAATATTTGTTTGTGTTCTCTAAAGTTAAAAGAATGCTTTTTGGAAATTTTCTTTTTCTTTTTGTTGTGGTTTCTCATTATCTGTAATATTCAAAGAAAATACATGAAATGAAATCCCTTTCCTTCTTTGGTTTGTTCTTCCTGGTTTTCACAGCTTTCTCTACACCTGGATTCTTACTGGGCCTAAAATAACATGGCGTTTTCTCTTTACTCCCTCATCTGTGCTTCCTGACTGAGGGCAGCAGAGCCCATCTGTGAATTTCTGCATGAGGACCAGCAGGGGGCGAACACTCACACAGGAATCTGAACTCTGTAAGGGAATGGTGGGAAAAGCGACCCAACCCAACTTTCTTCAGTAGGAAAGGCCCTTTTACATGTGGATGAATTAAGACATGGTAAACCACAGGTTATTGACAAAGGTGCTGAGAAGATGTATTTAGGGACAGCCCAGCAGCCACACGGCACAATGGCAAGGCTACTGCCCAGAGCAGGTACATACTCTGCCTGTACCTGTTTTTCAAGGCTTGGCTTGCTAAGCTGTACAGTTTGAGGTCCAGCGAGTCTGGTCCCTGGAGTAGCTATCACAATGCTGGTGAGCTGGGCCATGGGGAACGTTTTGGCTATGGTTGCGGTCTGCCCATTGACGACACGAACGGGGTGAATGGAATTCTGGGATGTGGGAAGGGTTGTGGGGGTGAACTTGGTCAGCATGACGGGCCTCTGGATAAGCTGAGGAGCTGCAAGCATGGGAGGAGGTGCTGGGGCAATAGGAATGTTATTCTGGGCCACAGGCTTAGGTCGAACCTATAGGGGAAAGAGAGAATAAATATTGTATTACTTAAAGAAACTGCTCAAGTCCTATTAGTCTAAAACATTGCCAAATCTTCCATATCAAAGGTGTGAAATGATATTTAACACAAAACATTTACTGATGTTCATTTTGGGTTATTAATTCTATAGACCTCAGGACATACAATCTTACAAAGAACTCATTAGCTCTTAAGAGATTCCAAATACCACCCTAGAACACAGTATTTTTGTTCCAAATCCTCAGCTCCCTCTCACATATCATGCTACCTCTTCAGGCTGAAGGCAAAGGCCTAAGCCAGAGACTGATAACACCCAGAACCTGTGCCCAGTATAGTAACTTATTTCACATGCTGGATTTCTTTATATCCATGGGCTTCAGTTTGTTCCCATTTCTAGAAGGCCCTCTAACTCCTTATTCTTGGCCACTCCTTCTCTTTTTTTGAGACAGAGTCTCAAGCTGCTGCCCTGGGTAGAGTGCCGTGGTGTCATAGCTCACAGCAACCTCCAACTCTTGGGGTCAAGTGATCCTCTTGCCTCAGTTTCTTTTTTTTTTTTTTCCTATTTTTAATAGAGATGGGGTCTGGCTTTTGCTCAGGCTGAGGATAAGCTATCCAACTCGTGAGCTCAAGCTATCCAACACTTCCCAGAGTGCTAGAATTATAGTTGTGAGCTACTGCGCTTGGCCCACTCCTCTTTTTTTTATTCATTTAAGAGACAAAGTCTCACTTTATCACCCTTGGAAGAGTGTCATGGCATCACGCAGCTCGCAGCAACCTCCAGCTCTTGGGCTTAGGTGATTTACTTGCCTCAGCCTCCTGAGTAGCTGGGATTACAGGCGCCCACCACAATGCCCAGCTATTTTTGTTGCAGTTTGGCCGGGGCTGAGTTTGAACCCACCACCCTCAGTATATGGGGCTGGCGCCCTACCCACTGAACCACAGGCGCCACCCCTACTCCTTCTCTGAGTCTCCTTTGTGGGCTCACTCTTCCTCTGCCCAATCCTGTATGTATTTCTCAGGATTTTGTTGTGGCATTCCTTTTCTTCCTAATCTTCACTCTTCCTGGGAGCTTTCACCCATCCTATGGCTTCACTTACATCTGTGTACTAAAGACTCTCACACTTTTATCTCAGGACCAGAGATGTTTCCTGAACTTCAGAGTCATATTAAACTGCTTGTTACACATCTCTACCTGAATATCTCACAAGAAATTAAAAATCAACATGTCTAAAACTCAATTTCTTCCTCCAGCCTTCTCTTTTTCCTAAAAATGGCCTTCACTCATCATTCTTGACACTTTCTATTCCACTTCTACTTCCTAAATAGTTCTTTTTTTTTTTTTTTTTGGTGAGACAGAGTCTCACTTTGTTGCCCTCGGTAGAGTGCAGTGGCATCACAGCTCACAGTAACCTCAAACTCTTGGGCTTAAGCATTCTCTTGCCTCAGCCTCCCAAGTAGCTGGGACTACAAACTTTTTGTTGTTGTTATAGTTATCATTGTTGTTTAGCAGCCCCACACTGGGTTTGAAGCCGCCAACTCCCACTATATGTGGCTGGCACCCTAACCACTGAGCTATGGGTGCCAAGCCCCTAAATAGTTCTTAAATCTGCCCTTCTTTATATCCTTATTGCTATTACCCTAGCTAATGTTTGACATACAGAAACAGTGACACAAAATTGTGGCTAAAAACACAAAGTCAGCTTTGCCTGGGTTCAAGTTCTGGTTTTATAACTTGCTGTGTAACCTCAGGCAACTCTCTAAGCCAGTACTTTTCAAACTTTTAAAACTGTGACCCTGTGGACAAAATCCTTTCCCCTTATGCATGAGTGTATAACCTTTAGTTAAGTCTCTAGCTCTCTTCCCAGAACCCTGATAAGGATAAGAATGTCAACTACGTTACCAGACAACACTGCTTATGAGAAAAATGACCCCTTATGGCTAAACTTAATATGGATGGGCAGAACTATAAATAGTTACAGGACATCATGCTTTTTGGGCTTCCCTAAATGGGGTGACTCTTCTAACTTGGGCATGTTCATTGTGGGGACCATGAAAGCCATTCCTATGGAATTGTCATAAGGATATATTGGTTTCTGTGGCATAAGGCTTTTATGTCAGGGCAGCTCTCTGACTGTCCTTGATAAAGACCTCATTTCCTTGCACCTGAGTTACTGTGAGACAGCTATAGGGACTGCTATATGAAGCTGGTGTGGGGCCCATTAACAAAAATGTCTGATGCTATCTTGCCAACAAGCTGTGGTTTCTGTCCTATATGTTCCAAGTAGACTAGTGTCAAACACGGCCTATGAAAGATTCATGGGTCTGAATGTTTAGCTGAACCTAAAACAACCCTGTAGTGGGTGCTACCGACCCACAGCAGGAAATACATCTTACACGGTGATTAGTATGCACATACATATATTTCCATTTCTATAAAACAACCTTCATGAAATAAAGTACATAAAACATGCTATGTACTCTTTCCTATTTTATTCTATTCCTTTTTTTTTTATGAGACATAGTCTCACTATGTTGTTGCCCTGGGTAGAATACCATAGCATCACAGCTCACAGCAACCTCCAACTCTTGGGCTTAGGAGATTCTTTTGTCTCAGGCTCCCAAGTAGCTGGGACTACAGGCACCTGCCACAACACCCGGCTATTTTTTGGTTGCAGTTGTCATTGTTGTTTAGCAGGGCTGGACTCGGCTTGAACCTGCCAGCCTCGGTGCATGTGGCCGGTGCCCTAACCATTGTGCTATGGGCGCTGAGCCCCATTCCTTTTATTTTAAAACATTGGTTACAATTCACTAAATTGATTTTGCACCCTAGAAATGGGTCATAACTCAGAGTTAGAAAACATGGACTAAAACTTAGATTCTTTATCCTAAAAAGAGTAATACCTACTTTCATATGGTTTAGAAGGTTAACTAGATAACATATGTAAAGTTCCTAGCACAGTACCTCAAATGTAGCAAGATTCTCTGAACATTAGTATCATCAATGACAATGTCCCGTCTCTCCTGCCCACAGTCTTGATCATATCCAATTTATTTGCTGCACAGTGGCAAGAGGGAATTTTCTAAAACACATCTGAGCACATCAATCACTTGTTCGTAAATGGTCTAAATCAGTGGTTCTCAACCTTCCTAATGCCTCCTAATGCTGTGACCCCTTAATACAGTTCCTCATGTTGTGGTGACCCCCAACCATAAAATTATTTTCATTGCTAATTCATAACAGTAATTTTGCTACTGTTATAAATCGTAATCTAAATATCTGCATATCTGATATGCAGAATGTATTTTCATTATTACAAAGGGGTCACAACCCACAGGTTGAGAACTGCTGCTCTAAATGGATCTCCACTGCTCCCTTGATCCTCAATGGCTCTAGATTCCCACAAGATTCTCATGTCAGTATTGCCCATTCACTCCCCAGAGGCTCTCTGGAAATCGTTTATACCACTGAGCACAAAATTCCTTTCTCTTCTCTCTTTGCCTAAAACTTTGGGCCTCAGATAGGAACTCTCATTCTTTCTATCAAGCAAATCAAAGCCCTCAATGTCAATACTTGAGTCATCTTGACATTCTGCCATGTGAATGGTGAGGGTCAGCCTAATTGCTGAAGAACTCTCAGGAAAATATGGGCAAGCAGAGCTGCTGGGACCTAGGTAGAAAATCTTCTGTACAGATCTGTAGCCTAAACTTCTGTGAGTAAGGCTTTGCATGTAAGTATGATGCTCAATCCCATCACTTCCCAGAGTAGAATGGAACAGTTTCTATAGTAGGTTTGGCTGTTGTTTCTTTCCCTACTCTTTTTGGCATATAGGAAAGAAATAAAAAGTGATAACTGCATTCTTTCTCTGATGCCAGGCAGTTTTTGGCTAAATTCTTTCAGTAAGTTAATAGTATGAGGTTTATAATGGTGGTATCTTTATTGTTTCAAATTTAGGAAAGGAATATCCTTTTCCTTCACTTCTCACTGCTACTACCTTTGCTCACTGCTAATTAAGTGATGATAAAAAATAGGCTTCTTCATAGTACAGAAATCTGCAGTCAGAATTTTTAGATAAGTGGGATCTGAATATGGCTGAATTGACAAGCCCCATGACAGTCTAATTAGAATGAGTTGCTAAGGATTTCTGTCCCACCTAACCCATCACTGGGCTTGTCACTGATTTACTCACCTGTGGAAGAAAGTTTGGACGTGGAGTGAGTCTAGGAGGGGGGATAAACTGTGGTACTTTGATGGGCTGAGGAGGTGTTGCTTGAACCTGCTGAAAAATGGGAAAAAATAAATAAAACAAAGAGAACAACTATTGTCCAATATCAAAGTTAGGCATGCTAAAGTATTTTCAGCATCATTATTCTTTGGATCAGACAGTATTTTCTACAAGCTTTTATTGCAGAGTTAGCCATGCGAATCAATACTTTTTTAATCTCTCGTGTGTATGCGTTAGCCTATAAAATAAACCAACCACACTTCTGTTACTCATGTAACTAATATAGAACATAGCAAGCTCAGTAATGTTAGGCAATTTCCTTTGACACTCAAAAATTCTTGCATTTCCATGTTTTACAAGTCAAGAGTAGATCCAAAGTAGTATCAAGTAAAACTTATTGCCTGGCTTTTTCCTGATATAAAAGCTTTATCTAACGGTGAATATCTTTATTCCAATAGAGAATTTTCTAACTCTCAGCACTTGGCTGAGTAATCCAGTTGCTTCTCTAAGGATTCCTGGATAAATGGCAAAGCTTCACTTTATTGCTCTCTAGTTTTACTCATCGCTGGTCATCATTCAAACGCTACCAAGAGATTTTAGTTGTCATTTTTTCCCCCTTATTTTTCTTTTTAGGGACAAGGTCTTGCTCTGTTTCTTAGGTTAGAATGCAAAGACATAATCAATAGCTCACTGCGGCCAAAAAATCCTTGGCTAAAGGGATCTGCCTGTCTCAGCTGGGACTTCAGTCATGTACCACTGTGCCTATCCACTATGTTGTCCAGGCTGGTCGCCAACTCCTAGCCTCAAGCTGACCTTCCTGCCTTGGCCTCCTAAAGCGTTGGGATTAATAGGCATGAGCTACCACACCCAGCCAACTGCCATTTTAAGAAGAAAATTTTATACCAAAATTTAGTTATATTTCTCTCAAAATTCTGAGAATATCAAAATGGCTGTATCAGACCATTTCTAAATGGTCAATCCTAGGAATCTCATAAACAATTCAAAGATTGTTTTTCCTGGTAGAACTAAACACTGAATTTGTGAGTTTCTTGAGTATTTTTAAAGTGCCACAACTAACTCTAGTACTTCCTACATACCATCGATTTAAAAGGATAGTGAACTAAAAGAATTACCAGGGAGTTTTCTCCAAAGCAATAACATAGCACAACAGAGTTTAAGCACTCGAGTTTCACAGGAATAACTGCGAACAGGGTGGAGAGAGAGATAAATGAAACAGGGTATTGTGTCCTCCATGAAGGACACCCTTCCTCTAAAATCAAGTCATACTTTGACTTTACATAATGCCATGGAATTCGGTCCTGGCTTCAGGATACTTTTGTAGTTATTTGAGCAGATAGTAGAAATGCCATATTCCCTCATTCCCTCGTCAGCCCTGATGGGGAGTTTGGTATGCCAGAAAAATGATGGGAACTGAGAAATCCAGCAGGAGCCTAAAATGGATATATTCTACAAATGCATATCCTGAACCCTCTCATGTGGGCATACATGAGAAGCAGCTGCTGGCTTACCAGAGTGACTGTGTTTTTTGCCACAATTTGGACAGCCTCTGCCCCAGGCCCAGTGACCTTACTAGACGTCTGCAGGTTGACTGGTGTGCTCTGCACATCAGTGCTGAGCACAGCCTTCTGACTGTTGATGGCGGTCACCATAGCAATGGTAGGTCTCTGGCCCACAACAGAGGCAGGCATGGTCGCAGTTGCTGCTTTCAAGACGAGAGGTAGTGTCTTTGTGGTAATCATAGAAGCTGTAGTTACAGTCTTCTAGGAGACATGGAGAACAGATATTAGGACACTAAATCTAAACAATTAAACTAAATCTCACTAAACAATATGCTGCTGAACCCCAGAAGAAAACAAAGCAATACTTCTTATAATCAAGTTTCTCTGTATAACAGCATTTCTTGTGTACATATAAGAGTATACTTCTTACTATAGGAATCTCCGGTTTGCTAGAGTTCTCTAATTAGCACCAATTGTTAATGGGCAAGTTCACAGTAATAACTGCAGACTGATACAGCCACAGAGTTTTCAACAATGAACAGGCTGGGTTTCCAGATACAGACTGTGAGTATGCTTACTTTAATTTTTCCAATTCTTTGTTTGCTGTCGATTAATTTAAACTTTATACATGTTATAAATCAATGAGGTACATATCATCTCTATCCTTAATTGCTACAACCTCACAAATATGAAGAAAGCCATCGTATAATTCCGGATATCTGCCTCCTGTAACACAACGGCTAGGGTAAAAGGATAGTGTCTTTTCATTTTCTGAGTGTCACTGTAAAGAGGAGGAAGGGAAATTTACATGAGGACTAGCATGTTGCCTCAGAGGCAGCAGGTCCCAAGCTCAGATAATGAAACCTATTAAGGAACTAGTATAGTAAATATCAGTCCTTGATACCAGAGAGATATGAGGTACTATGCATAATTTTTTCTCTAGGAAAGTAATGCAGCATGTGATCAAAGATGCTGTAAAAACATGACAATACGGAAACAAACACCACAGTTTCAAAAAGCCTTAGAGATCAGATGAGCTGAGTTGAGAGGACTTGACTGAAGCTCTTCCAAGTCTTACTGCAGCTTTGGAGCTACATTTTCTAGACTTTTTACTATAATAATTAAAAGAGTTACAAAATAAGAAAATATAAATTGTTTTATTGCATAGTACACACCTACTGTCTGATGCTGCTAGTAACTCAAGATACATACATTTCTGAAACATAAAAATTTATCTGGCCTGACTGGTAAATTCTGATTTTATTTTTGAGACAGTGTCACTCTGTCATGCTGAGTAGAAATCCAGGGCATCATCATAGCTTACAGCAATCTCAAACTCTTGGACTTAAGTGATCTGCTTGCCTCCGCCTTCGGAGTAGCTGGGACTACAGGTGCCCACCATAACACCCAGCTAGTTTTTCTTATTTTTTTGAGACAGAGTCTCACTATGTCTCTTGGAGTGCTGTGGCGTCACAACTCACAGCAACCTCAGACTCTTGGGCTTAAGCGATTCTCTTGACTCAGCCTCCTAATAACTGGGACTACAGGTGACCACCACAACGCCTGGCTATTTTTTTGTTATTGTTGTTGTTGTTTAGGTGGCCCTGGCCGGGTTCGAACCCACCAGCTCTGGTGCATGTGGCTAGCACTTTAACTGCTGAGCTATAGGCACACAGCCTACTTTTTCTATTTTTAGTAGAGATGGGGTCTCATTCTTGCTCAAGGTTGGTCTTGAACTCCGGAGCTCAAGCAATCCACCCCTCTAGGCTTCCCAGAGTGCTAGGATTACAGGTGTGAGCCACCACCCCATGCCAGGTTCTGGCTTTGATACTATTCCACCTTTTTCTTCTTACACCACATTTGCACTGATTTAATAGGTACTGGGCATTTTAAATAAAGCTATTTAAAATTAAATTAATTTAAACAAAAGAAAGTTAAAACATCAACTCCTCAGTTTCACTAGCTACATTTCAAGTATTCAAAAGCCACATGTGGATGGACAGTGAACATAGAGAAAATTTCTAACATTGCTGAAAGTTCTACTGAACAGCACTATGCCAGACCAGTAAAGTACTCCACTCTCCTGGAAACACACGCAGTAACTTCCCTTATGAATTTCTATTTTAGCGTCTATGTAAGTACCTGCAGGTTAAGTTCTTTGGTTCTAGGGAATTATTTATTAATGTTTTCTACCTTAAGTGCTCACACATTTATTATCTAACCTTAACATCTTCTTTCATTTCTCTTTTAACCAAAAAACTTAATGATTTGGCCTCATCTATCTCATCATAGCCTAATCATCATTCCTTAGTAATACCTGTAATTAAAATCACCCAAATCTTTGTTTTCTTCTCTCCAAGGAAACAACACAAGAATGGAGTATTTTCTTTGCCATCGCCTCCTCAAATGTGAAATGAGAGTAAAGGGAAACACTGTTATTTATTTTGGGGTATAGTGAGTCATCTACTTTCTATTAGTGATGAAAACCAAATAAAAGCCAAATGTTACCTATCATCAGAAACATCACAGTAGTATAGCAGGAAGGACTGACTTACATGTTACTAGCTCTTTATCATATGTGTTTTTAAACACAACGTTATGAGCCCTTTCTTTTGTTCTTTCTTTCTTTTTTTTTTTTTGAGTCAGAGTCTCAATCTGTTGCCATGGCTAGAGAGCTATGGCCTCAGCCTAGCTCACAGCAACCTCAAACTCTTGGTTTCAAACGATCTTCCTGCCTCAGCCTCCCGAGTAGCTGTGACTATAGGTACCCAGGCTAATTTTTTTTCCTATTTTTATTAGAGATGGAGTCTTGCTCAGGCTGGTCTCGAACTCCTGAGTTCAAGCAATCCTACTGGCTGGGCTTCTCAGAGTGCTAGGATTGCAGGTGTGAGCCACAATCAGTCCTATCTTTCAAATAAAAATATTTTAATACAAACAACTGCTGAAGTGGTGAGCAAATCATACCAGACAGCACTCAGTCCTGGCACTACCTTAGGTTGTGGGGGTAAAAGATCTAGTCAGCAGAATTTACTGACATAAATTTTAAAAACAGTGGTGCATGTTGTTATTGCTTTAAAGAAGTCAATGTACTTGCGTTTCAAGTAAATCACTGTCAATATTTTCAATAACACTAAACACTGCTCTAGAAAACATGGACTAAAACCTCAAACTCACCCAAATTATAAACTTACCATTAACCCAAGACTTAAAAAACACTGAAAGCTAACACATTTGTTTACATTTTAAGTTAGAAGTTTTTTGTTTTTTTTTTGGAGACAGAGCCTCAGGTTGTTGCCCTGGGTAGAGTGCCGTGGCATCACAGCTCACAGCAACCTCCAACTCCGGGGCTCAAGCGATTCTCCTGTCTCTGCCTCCCAAGTAGCTGGGACTACAGCCCCGCCACAATGTCAGGCTATTTCTTGGTTGCAGCCATCATTTGTTGTTTGGTAGGCCTGGGCTGGATTCGAACCTACCAGCTCAGGTGTATGTGGCTGGTGCCTTAGCTGCTTGAGCCACAGGCGCTGAGCCTAAGTTAGCAGTTTTATTCTATTTTACCAATCTTTAGTTGTGGTTGATTTCACTATACATATTCTAGCACTTATATGGTTTTGTTATGTAGTGCACAGTCACAAAACATAGTACTATATGCTTCAATAAGAACTTTTTTTGAAAAATATATTTACTAATTATTATTGACATTAAGATACAAGTACCACTTAGATCTTTACTCCTGGTCTGGTGTTTTTTATATTCCAAGTATTAGGGAACACAAACCAAACTCTTAAAATATTAGGCTGTATGGCTCGGCGCCTATAGCTCAACCGGCTAAGGCGCCAGCCACGTACACCTAGGGTGGCGGGTTCGAATACC